AAATCTAGTTTTATTTAAAATGAACCCACTGGCGGGCCGAACTGAATTCATCCGTGGGCCTGATTTGGCCCCTGGGCTACCAGTTGAATAGCCCTGGTCCAGGGTATGTCTTGTGTGGGATTTCTCCTTCTGCCTGGCTCCTGAGTTAGCATCCTTATCTCCTTATTTATTGTTTCTGTCTCAAGTTTGATTGGCTAATACCCCCACAACTTTAGAAAATTATATAAAAACACTAAATCATCCACCTCAGTTGAGACTTTTAGGTGAGTAGGTAAAGTTTATTTATATACGTGCAGCACCTTTCACAGATAAAAAAATTGCCAAGTGCTTCACAACAAAATACATTAAATAAAAATACATTGACTTAAAAGATGTAAGGTCATAGATGTAAAAACTAATAGAAAGCCTTCTAACTCATAGCTTGTCTGAACAAAACCATCCGTCCATCCATCCATCCATCCATCCATCCATCCGTCCATCCATCCATCCATCCGTCCATCCATCCGTCCATCCATCCATCCATCTTTCGCTTGTTCCAAAGTCAGGTCTCGGGGTCAGCATCTTGAGCAGGTAGCCCCAGACATCTCTCTCCACAGCCACCTCTTCCAGCTCTTCTGGGAGGACTCCAAGGTGTTCCCAGACCAACTGAGAGACATCTCTCCAGGGTCTCCTCCCAGTCGGACATGCCCAAAGCACCTCCCTAGGGAGGCGCCCAGGGAGCATCCTTACTCTCCATGTGGAGGAGCAGCAGTTCTACTCTGAGTCTCTCCTGATAACTGAACTTCTCACTCTATTTCTAAAGGAGAGTCCAGCTGCACTGAGGAGGAAACTCATTTCAACCGCCTGTATCCATGATCTCATTCTTTCAGTCACTACTCAGAGCTCGTGACCATAGGTGAGGGGAGGAACATAGACTGACACTAAAGATAAGACAAGAGATAGAACTTTATTGATCCTGCAGGAAATTGTTGAAACACTAAATCTTAATCAATTTAATCTCTCCAGTTCATTTTCAAACAATAGCTTCATATTTCTACAAATGTTAGACTTCATACTGTTTATCCAAACATGGTAATTTTTTCTTCTTTCACCCGGTCTACGTTTCATTGCTGTAAGACTTG